AAACTAATAAATGTGCCAGCATACTTAAACACAAAGCCTTTAAAAAAAATTACATATTATGATTATCAATGATTCATCCCAAGTTGTAGAAACTTAATAACTTTTGACATGACATGATTTTATCTTGCATTACATTTTTCCTTTGTATCGTATTAAAAAAATTTAAATTTTCATTAACCCAAATTTCAAACATCAAAATCTTTTATCCTTTTAATTCTTTTGACCTTTTTTCCCTTCGTTAAATTAATCGATGACTTTCATATTCACACATGTGCCATTCATGAGGTCAAAATACATGTATATACAATTTTGTTTGTGATGACGAGGCAGCTGGAATTATTCTAAACACGTACGATCACGTGATTGTTTAAGATTCCCCAGCTGACAAGTCAATCTATATGGATTGATGTTTGATTGTTTGGTGTGCAGGTCGCCAAACCTATATGTGCTTTGTTTAATGAGACCCGGAAACTTTGAATTAACAAAGGTGAAGGCTCTTTTTTTATTTTTAAAGTGAATTTAATTTTAAATTAATTTTATTCTTTAACTTTAAATATTTTTTTCATTGCCACCCTATTATTTTTCATCCTTAATAAGTTTCATATTATATATTTTTATTATAAGATATTTGAATGGAAAAACAAACATAATTCTCTGAATATAAATTGAAGAAAAAATAAATTTTAATATAATAAAAAATATTTAAAATAGTAAAATTTATTAATAACTAACAGATGTTAAGTATTTTTAAAGTCAGAGTAAAAATGGGAGGAATTTTTAAAGTTGAAGGACAAATTGATCTATAATTAAATTTAAAAGAATTTGTAACCTTTCATGTATAATTAAAAAATAAAAATAACCATTAACCTAATTAATTACTAGAAATAAAACCAGATTGGAGGAGAGGGCCAAATTAAAAAACATAACATATATATATATATATATATACTATTTATTTTATTTTTTTTAAAGTTGAAATAATTGATATTATTAAAATAATGTTATACTATAAAATCATAAAATAATAATTACTTAAATGAACTGAACATTTTTAAAATTGTAAAAAGTATTCAATGTGAAATGACAAGTTTAATACATTAATTTTTTTTAAAAAATAAGATATTAAAATTTATGTTTTAACATAATATTATTTTTTCTATATGGTATTTTTTAACATATTCTCATATATCATACTGGTTAATAATTTGAATACTAGATTAAGATAAGCCTTTAAATTTTGTTAAAAAAATATTAATGTATACAAGATACCTACTCCAAATAATTAATATTTGACGTAGTTAAGGTAATATGACATTTATTATTTAAATAATAAAAATTAAATTTATTAAAAAAATTTCTCAATTTTTAAAATAATGATTGATATGTTTTCTTTAAAATAATTTATTTGATAAAAAGAAAAGCAGTAGCATGTACGACATAAACATTGAACATCACTTTTATTTTTATTAATACGAAGTTAATATTAATTATTGATTAATAACATAATTTTTAATAAACTAGCAATATAATTTATTTTATTTAGCATGTTAACAGTTAATATATTAAAAATCAAGTAATATGTTAATAAGCTAGTACTAATTGATATGCTTGTACAAACGCAGAAAGTGGATACTTTGGTGTGCATGAGGTCATCCAAATTATCTGAAAGAAAAAAAAAATTAACGCATATATTTCTCTTTCATGTTTTTCAATATTAAAAAAATTTTAAAACTTATTAATTTTATCTTAAAATTTAATAAGTTTTTAAATTTTTTTATTAAATATACATATTTTAATAACATATTTTTTCTTTAAAACATTTAATAAAAAATAAAAAATTTATAATAAAAATTTAATAATATAATTTATAAATAAAATGAAAAAATTATAAATAGTACTAAAAGAAATATGTCATAATGATATTGTCCGAACTAAGCCTGCCAAGAATAAAGCTGCTCTGACTCGGCTTAATGGAAGATAAGAACTAAGAAGCACTTAATTAATCCTGTTTGTAAAGGTTTTCGTATTAGATTTATAAATAAAAAAGTAAAAAATTATATGCATTAATTTTTTTAGATAATTTGGATAATTTTCAGACAATATTTATATTTAAAGAATGGATATGTTGATCCAACACATATTATCTAACGGTCAATTAACAGTTTTGTGAATAGAAATAAAATATAAAAATAGATGAGATATTTGTATTTTATAAAATAAAAAAAAAGATATATATAATTAAGATAAAATAGAAAAGAAGTGAGGGTATCTTACTCTAACTATTATTAATTTAATGTCATGACTCTCTCTTTCTATATTTCACTGGTATTGTTGCGGCTGATATACTTGACTGGGGTTATGTAACGGTCCTAACTCCTAAACGCTAAGATTTAAATTAGAAATGGCTAATGATAATTGATGACAGCAATTAAAAATGTTCAAATCAACTGGTAGACTCGAGAAAGCAAGTCAAAAGAATTTTTTTCCCCAACATGTGTACTGGTATGGCTTTGATATTAATCCAAAAAAATAATATTTCAAAAGAATTTTTTTTTTTGGGGTAAACGTCACTTTAAAGAAATTAAATGAACACCAAATGTTCCAAGTGAACTTCAAAGAAACGTCACTATAAAGGATTATTTTAAGTGAACTTTGACTTAGTCACAGTTGCTAATTATCATCGTTAATGAACACCAAATAAAAGCTCCCCCCCTTTTATATATATTTATAGTTGGGGAGCATTAATTCCTTTGTTTATAAAAGAAAAGAAATACTTAGTTAGATCGAATGCAACTTATCATTTATAATCTATTTAATAAAACCATAACATTTAGATGATATTTAATATAAATTAATTTTGATATTAATGATAGTGGAGAGAGAAAAGGTAAAAAATTAAATGTGCATTATGTTATAAAAATAAAATTAATTAAAAAATATCATACAATATTTTATTTAAATTACTTGAAACATTTTAATTGGACAAATCATAAATAACGTGATACATCTGGTCTACTTAAGTATTTTTCTATAAAAGAATATATCACATTGCTTAAAAAAAAGGGAAAAATATTACATGCCCTTCAACTATCGTAATTTTTTTTAAAAAAAATATGAGTTTAAACTAATAGAAGTATGTATCTTATTTATAGATGAAGACAGCAGCTGCGGAGGCAAAAAGAGAAAGAGACAAAGTATTAGGATTGGAAGGAGAGAATGAGAATTTAGAGAGGACGATGAACACAAAGGACAGCTACAAAAAGAATAATAAGATAAAATAAAAAGTTAAAATTGATCAAGAAGCCAGAGACGCCAACTTTAAAGGTAAATAATGGATTTAATTATTTGTTTTTTTCCCCCAAAAATGGATTTGATTGTTTGATTATGAGAAGGGTAATTAATGAACAAAATAGATCATGAAGTATTGAATGAAAAGCATCTTAAACTTTGAACTATTAAAATGTGTAAAATGAACCCTAAATTTTTAAATTTATGACAAAATGAATCTCATCGTTAATTTTTTCTAACACCATCCTAAACCTTAAACTTTAAAATTTCAAATAAATCAACCCCAATATTTTTTTATAGAATATTGATTATTATGTAATTCAAATTAGCCTCAATGTGGCCCAATACGGTGAATACATTATTGACTATGATGAACAATACATAATTTTGTGAAATGACATTTTTTGCCCTCTTTTTGCAATGTTCTACAAACAATTGATATCTCATTCTTTCATATATTTTACAGTTTTAATTTAATTTTATTTTAAATAATATTTATTTATTTAATGATAAAAATTTAAAATTTTATTTAAAAAGAAATTTAACGTCCAATCTAAAAAGCATGTTTTATATTTTATAAGGAATGAAGTATGTTATCAAACATTGAAAGTTTTCGTTTTTCCATGAATGGAAATTTCATTCTTAACTCAAAAGCAAAGTAAAAATAATCAAATATAGACATGGCCGAACAAAAAAAAAAACCAAAGGAAATCAAAGATATATACTAAGACATTCGTCATCTTATTTTTTTTCTTTTAAAAAAAGAAATAAAGAAAAATATGGTAATTGATGAGAAAAAGAAAGAAAATCACGTGAATAGGACTAGTAGATGGATCTGTCCAGTAGATAGATAGTGGCGAAATTCCCAGTCCTGGTTCATTAATTACTTGGAGCCATTGCTGAGAGAGATGGACAGGACTGATTGGTTTGAAACATTACCAGATAAGGAACCCCCCCATAATTAGAGTCTCGGTTGAGAACCGGTCAAAATCGGTTGCCGAGAAAAATAGTTTTTGTTATTATATGCTTTCTTTGACTATAACAATATTTTATTTATTATTTGTTTTTTTAAAAAATTCATTAAAATTTTAAGTGTCACCTTTCGAAAATCATAAATTAATTACACATACCTTCAACAATTTCAGACTTATACTCTGCATCGTCACTATCGTACAAATCACCAGCGCACCGTTTGGTGGGACTAGATGGAAAGAATCAAGCATGTCCCATTTGCAGTTTTGCACTCTATCATTTCCGTGTATTGTCTATGCTGTTAAATCCGAACGCTATAAATTTAAAATTTTCAACTCATATTTTTTAAAATAAATTATTTTTTAGGAAGTGAGATTATTATCTTTATTTTGGATATTATATTCATCAAAATATAATTTCTAAAAAAATATAATTTTTTTAAGATTAAATCTCAACAACCAATTTATAAAAATTATAAAAAAATTAAAATTAAATTTGTACTATGCAAATTAAATTTGGACTACCCAAATTTGATGATGAGCAGATTTATTTAAAATTTTAAAAAATTATATCTCTTATGAATTTTTTTTTAGTAATTATAAAATAAAAATAAAGATAATCTTTTAACTGATTCAACAAAATAATTTCTTAAAAAAATATAAATAAAAATGTTAAAATTAGGCGGTCCACAGGTTTTGTTATCTCCTTGCAGAATATCCCTTTCTGAGCTGAGAACAGGGACAATCCCTCCGTATCTGCTGGTCCTGAGTTTGATCATTAGGTGGAATAAGCGAAGGCAAAGAAGCTGTGCTGCGATATAAAATAATGCGTGCTCCACTATGCATCTCCATCGATCTCATCCATATATGTTCATTAATTACTCGATAATCAGTTAAACATTCAATAACATACATATTCATGGAGGTTGAAAGAGTTCAGTGCTTGGCCTCCGGCCTGTTGAAGGAGCTTCCTGCTCAGTTCATCCGCCCCGCCGATGAACGGCCGGAGAATACCAAAGCCGTTGAGGGCGTCACGGTGCCGGTTATCTCCTTGTCCCTCCCTCATGACCTCTTAGTCAAGCAGATCGCCGACGCAGCCTCCGAGTGGGGATTCTTCCTCGTCACCGATCACGGAATACCGCAGACTTTGATCGGCCGGTTACAGGAAGTCGGCCAGCAGTTCTTCGCTCTTCCCCAGAAAGAGAAAGAGTCATACGCTAATGACCCCTCCACCGGCAGCTTCGAAGGGTACGGCACCAAGATGACGAAGAATCTGGAGGAGAAGGTTGAGTGGATTGACTATTACTTCCACATGATGGCTCCTCCTTCCAAGGTCAACTATGATATGTGGCCCAAGAACCCTGCTTCTTACAGGTTCGTGTTGATGGATACGAACGGGATTTGGATCCTCCATACTCGAAATCGGAGTCTGGCGAGTCTGATTAATTATGTTAATTTGTTTTGTTGTTGTTCAGGGAAGTGACGGAAGAGTACAACAAAGAATTGCTGGGTTTAACAGACAAGTTGCTGGAGATTCTGTCAGAAGGGCTAGGGTTGGAGAAAAAGACGTTGAAAAGCAGCTTGGGAAACGAAAAGATTGAAATGGAAATGAAAATAAACATGTATCCGCCATGTCCGCAACCAGAGCTTGCTTTAGGTGTTGAGCCTCACACCGACATGTCAGCCCTCACTCTGCTCGTCCCCAACGACGTTCCCGGCCTTCAGGTTTGGAACAAACACCACTGGGTCGCCGTCGATTACCTGGAAAACGCCCTCTTCGTCCATGTCGGTGATCAGCTCGAGGTAATACATATATACATATTATATATATATATTATACACTTGTAGTTATGAGTTATAACTGATATTTATATTGGGGTGGTTAATTAATTAGGTGCTGAGCAATGGCAAGTACAAGAGTGTTCTGCACAGAAGCTTGGTGAACAAGGAAAGGATGAGGATGTCGTGGGCGGTGTTCGTGGCGCCGCCGCATGAGGCGGTGATCGGACCTCTTCCGGCACTGGTGAACCAAGAAAACCCACCCAAATTTTCGACGAAAACTTTTGCAGAGTATCGACACCGAAAATTCAATAAGCTTCCTCAATGAGAATCCCAGAGTTCACTCAGTACAACTAGAGTTCTGGCACGGCACGGCACTTTAATTACTTGCTTCATTTTAATTTCTCCCTACATCTTCTCTCCTACTTTGCTTATAAAATGAAGCCCTTTATTTTTGGCAAATCTGTGAGGAGACGTAGACAACTCCTGTTTGTGTTTATTGCCAAGCTACGTGTTAATTTTTTTTTTTCTTTTTCAGTTTTCTATGTAATCCTTGAAATATTCATTTCTCATTTTCGACGTTCCTTTATTATCAATAAATGATATTATAATATTTATAATTTATTATTGTAATATTAATAATAATTATTATTACTAATAAATAATATCAATTATACAATATAATAATTTATCAATATATTTGAAAAAATTATCTTTGAATATGACACACACATATATTAATCAATTAAGTTAAGAATATTTAACATAATAATAATATATAAATGAGATTTGAAGAAAATGAATTATATATTCGTAATCTCTGAATCACTAAATTCTGTGTTTTTCTTTTTTTGGTTGGAGATACAAAGGCAAGCTAGGCTTAAAGAAAAGGTAAAAAAAAAGGCAAAGGAAATTACAGCGGAACCAAAATTTAGCTTTTGTCGCCAGAATATAAAGGCAAGCAATCTGTAGGTGCAGAAGACACTTGAATCATTTTACTAGAAACATCTTTGTTGCATGATGATATCTCAGTAGGAGTGTCGTATGGTTACATCTTTCATGAGGAGCAAGCAATCTCTAATATAATCTATGTCCCTACAAAGATGATGATTGATGACATTATTTCGCTTTAACAGCGTCATAGCATTAGTAAAAGAATCAGAGCAAGTCGACAATTTAGTAAGTTGAGGTGCTGGCAAACTTCAAGTCTAGTTCTAATGGCTAATATTTCAACATCAGTTGCAGAACATGTACCCAGATTCTTGTAAAAACCCCTTAGCTAGTTCCCATTGTTGTCCCGTATGAATTCCCCACAGGCTGCTTGGTGGTGGTTCCATATTGATCCATCTGCGTCTACACCAACGCAGCTGGGTTGGGGCGAGGTCCAAACATCTTCTGAGATGAATTTATCTTGGAAAATCTGGATGTTAAGTAGGTGCACATGTGCTTTTTCTGCTGATTCTAAATATTTTCATATTAAAAGCTCTCTCTCCCCCCCTATGTGTGTGTAGCATGTGTGTATGTACTCAATCCATATCATTGATACAGGGTATTGATAATTATTTACTTTAAAATCTTACTCCACACAATTAGTTATTCTCAGGTCCATTGACAATTAAGTTTAAGAGAATAACAGCACATTTAATTAAGATGAAATCTTAATTTCTTAAAAATTAAAGTGCACGTTTAGTCTTTTAACTTTATATAAAGTTTTATTTTCGTCTCTTAAATTTAAAAAAGTATATTATTAGTCCTTTAACCCTAACATGGATAATTTCGTTAAAAAACTCAAATATTGACATATTTAATATAATTTTTTTAAAATAACAATTATTAGCCCAAAAAAATTATTTTAAACTAACAGTATTAGAGTTAAAAGACTAAAAATATACTTTATAAAATTAAAAGAGTAAATTTAAAACTTATATAAAATTAAAGAATCAAATGTATACTTTAGCCTTTCTTAAAAAAAATACAACTTTTTAATTATGCCCTTATTAAATATTCTATATAAGGGCCTGATAATTAAAATTTTAATGTAATATTTTTTTAAAAAAAGTAATAAATAAAGTTAGAAATACAATTATACAAATTACTAAATGTCTCGTATTGTAAACGAAGTGAAATTTTTAGAAAATATTTTATATAAAAATCTATCAACTTGTTTGGCAACTTGTTCTAAAAACAATTTTTTCTTATCCAAAACAAAAAAAAATCTGTTTGTTAATATATTTTTAGAAAGTATTTTAGAAGGAAAAAAATCAAATATTATTTTAAAGAATAAAAAACAAAAACATATTTTAAGTGTTTTGAAGAATAAGAAAGGATAAAAAAATTATTTTTGCTATTTTTTATTTTAAGAGTATGTTTTCTAAAATATTAATTCTTATAACAATAAAAAAGATAATTTTAAACACGTACACCGACATCACGTCGCAATTTAAAGTTTAAACCCTAGGAGCTAGCCGCAATCAATGTGGTAATTAACACATACACGTGGCATAGGATAACTTTCTGAGATCTCAAAGACAATTAACCAACCATTTGCTTTGCCTAAACCTAGGTATGGCCTTGGATGAAAGCAGTTAAGCATAGTATTCTAGAAGAAATTACATTCATTGACATTGCTGTCCATAAAACATAAAGAAAGAGAGATGGTTGGTATGTGCATATCTGTGGTGATCCGTGATCATGCTTTTCCGCATTTTAAAACCAAAGTCATTTTCAACCATCGATACAAATTTCTTGGAAAAAGACAAATATGACCCACTCATATAAGGACAAAAGTACATCAGGAGGAAGAAAAGGCCACCGGAGGGAGAAAATGATTGTGTCTTGTAACCACAAGAAAATTCAATTAAAACAGTACTCATGTTTAATATTTAATCATATTTTGAAAATGATTATTTTAATAAAAAAAAGATATGTGAATGACAGAAAGACAAACTTATTTTATTTTTAAGCTGCCCACAGCAGACTGTGGGAAAGTACCCCAAAAAAAAAAAACCGTGTGAATACTTATATTTTTTGCATTTTATATTTAATATATTTATATTTAATTAAATTAAAATAAATAAATTTAAAATGTTAATAATATTAATAACATGTTTTTGTTATAAAACATATAATATGTTAAAAATTTATATGTCTTAATTTGATTGAAGATAAGCATTTTAAGTATAAAAGATGTTTATTTTTTTGTGATTAATAAAATTGATTCTTTTTTTGGGGAAAAAAAGTATATGAGAAGTTTTCTAAAGTGATTTGATATTTCATAATATAATGTTTTCAGAAAAATAACGTTTTATTAATAAATTTATTTTAAAATGCTTATTATTTCACTTTTTAAGTATCTTTCTTTCTCCCCCTTTATTGAACGAAGGGCATATTTAAAATTTATATTTCTTTTTGAAAAAAAATCAAAATTTCAAATTGTATTTAATTCATTTCATTAGTATTTTCAATTTAAAAAAATGGTACGTTTATAAAATGGGATCGAAGGAATAAATGGATTAATACAGTTAGTTAAAAGCTTAAAATTACTCCCTCTCTTCCAAAATACAGGACAATTTCTACCCATTGGTATTTTCCCAAATATATATGAAACTTGGTAGAAAAGGTCAATAGTATATTTTTCTTTTCCACAAATACTCATATTAATTATATTGTAGAGAGAGATTATATAAGAAAAAAATTAAAGGTAATTCAGAAGATAGATTAATTTTAAAAGTAATCTTGAAAAGTAGTGATACTTTTTACCATTTTAATTATGCAAACCACTTTTAATTATTTTTTAATATTGGTGAAGTGGTTAAAAGTGTCTAATATTTTGAATTAAAGCATGCATACTCTTTTTTATATTCCTTTAGAAGATCTTGTGACATAATTTTTTTTTTGAAAAAAAGTTTAAGGTGTCATTATCTCTCCCTTGTGGTATCCAATTATCACTCTAATAAAACCATTAACTAGTTGTCAAACCTTTTTCCTTTTTTCTGGAAAAAAGTTACTAAATTTACGAGTCCATTCATGCATTTATATTTAAGATATTTAGAAATAAACAATTCTTGAATTTGTACATTGCGAATAATTTTACCTTTCTATTTTCCTTTCTCTTTTATTCCTTTTAGGTGCGGAATATGCTTTTTTTTTTTTTTTTGTCATGCTTTCTGTGTGCTTTTAGAATATGCTACTTTCTGCTCAAAGCTAGCCTCTTTTTTTCCCCCAGAAAATTTATGAATATTTTTTTATTAAAGATAATTTTATTTAAAATATTGTTGGATATTAAATGTGACAATTTTTTTAATAGAGATTTAAACATTAATTTGTTATATTATAAAAGATTAGTCTCTTTTATTAAATTTAATCCTATTGATAAAGCTAGCTTCTTTATTTTATTTTATTTTATTTTTCGGTGAATAAAACTGGCTTCTTTTTATTTGATAAATTTTATCTGTGCCTTTTTGAAAATGCTATTTGTGTTTGGAATAAACTCTTCAATGTTATATTGTCTCGAGGGGGGGACCCCAATTATTTGACAAAAGGACAGGGATCTGATGATAGAAAATTCTCATCTAGTTTATTATATTTTTCTTTTAATATTTTTCCACGTAGATTGAGAAATATAATAAATGTGTAAAAATATGATATATTTTATTAAATTTATCCCTAATGTAATGTTCATGAAAACATTATAATTAATAAATAGTAAATTACTCATAAGGTAACAACAGGATTATGTTATTAAATAATGCTTTGAAATTCTTCGAAAGGCTTCCAATATGAAATATTTTTTTCTTATAGAAATATAATAAAATTATAAAATAGAGGGACTAGTTTAAAAAAAATTAGGTTCCATGCTTTACACGGATAATGAGGTTAGCTGAATAGTTGACCGTTTATGAATATTATGGTTTCATGTAAATTTTATTCATATATAATTTTATTTCATTTTATTTATTGCAAGTTAAAATTTTTTGATTAACTTTTAATTTAATACTCCTTTCAGTTTAAAATATAAGCAGTTTTTAATAATAATCTACATACCAATAAAATTCTTATTCTCATAAAATATTGTATATTTTTTCCATTTTGCCCTTAATTACAAGATATGATGAGTGAAAAAAAGGACATAAAGTTAATGACCCAAAAATTGCCTCAAGTAAAGGAATAATTGCGAGCAACAAAAAAAAAAAAGAATTTAAGTCGATAAATATAACAAGGTAAAATAAAAAAAATTAATTTTATAAATATTAAGTTGCTTATATCTTGAGTTAAGATTAGGTGAGAGAAAATATTTAAATTTTGGATCATAAGGAATAGTTCTGGGAGGAAAAAATATTGAAATGATATTAAAAAATTAATGCTCAAATAATGATAACAAAATAAAATTCAAGGATGCAATGATTATCGAAAACAAAAGGTTGAGATGTAATTTTATCTTTAAACTATTTTCAGAAGAAAAATGTTACTCTCACCGTTTAACCTCCATGACTTAGCTAGTGGAACACACTTTTATGAGTTAAGGTGCAATTTTACTTTTAAATTATTTCAAAAGAGCAATGTTGCACTCATAGATTAAAAATCATAAAATTAAATAAAAATAAAATTATAATAATATTAA